AGTAGTAGTAGTAGTAGTAGTAGTGTCGTAGTAGTAGTAGTAGTAGTAGTAGTAGTAGTAGTAGTAGTATAGTAGTAGTAGTAGTAGTAGTAGTAGTAGTAGTAGTAGTAGTAGTAGTAGTAGTAGTAGTAGTAGTAGTAGTAGTAGTAGTAGTAGTAGTAGTAGTAGTAGTAGTAGTAGTAGTAGTAGTAGTAGTAGTAGTAGTAGTAGTAGTAGTAGTAGTAGTAGTAGTAGTCGTAGAAGCAGTCGTAGTAGGCGTCGTCGCAGTCGTAGTAATCGTACAGATCGTCGGTGTGCTGGTCAGTCATTGGGGTGTTTGGATGTTGGTGTTTGGTTTGTGGGGTTCATGGAGTGCTCTGCGTTTGTTGTTTGGTGTTCGGTGTTGGGGGTCTGCTGTTTGCTGTTTGTGGTGTTGGTGTCTGTTGTTTTGGGTGCTGGTATTTGTTGTTCAGGGTGTGGGGGAGTGTGGTTAGGTGTTTTGAAGCTTTGTTGTTTGGGGTTTGGTGTTTGGTGCTTGAGGTTTGGTGTCCGGGATGTTGGGTTGTTGATGTTTGTGGCTTGATGTTTGTTTTTTGGTGTTTGGGTGTTTGGTGTTCGGGTATTGAGGGTTTGGGTTGGGTGTTTGATGTTTGTTTTTCGGTGTTTGGGGGTTTGGTGTTTGCGGCTTGGGGGTTGGGTTTGGTGTTTGGTGTTTACTGTTTGGTGGTTGGTGTTTGGGTTTTTTGTTTCGTGTTTGGTGTTCGGGGTTTGGGGTGTGGTGTTGTGGGGTTGGGGCTCGGGGCTTGCGGCGATGGGGTTGACGGGGCAGTGGGGTTGTGTGTTTCCAATTTTTTCGCATTTTTTCCGCAGGCCACCCAGAGAAAGATCCCTTGTCCCAGAGGAAGTGTTCCGAACAGTTTTTCGACCGTCCAAAGGCGTGGCGAGGGCCTCGGGATGCCGAAACATTTTTTGTTGACGACGCCGCGATGTCAGAGTTTCCGGCAAACTCCGAGTGGGGATCGGCGGCGAACGTATCAATATATCTCCACGGCTTCGCGGGCCGGGCCCCAGGGCCGTGTCCGTAACGATGCGGTGCGTTTTTTCGCGGATGCCCCGCGCGGCACGTGTCGACTGTCTACCCACGGGGCTTCGCCCTGGAATCCAGACCGCGAGAGCGTGGATGTTCTCGGTAGCAAATCATGGGACCCTTGTGTGTCATCGTAAGTCCGTCTGTAGAGTGCTCTAACCTGTGTCAGCGGCTGATCGTCGATGAGAAAACACCGATTCAGCGTCGACTGGCGTCCATGTAGCATTGACTAGCGTCGGTGATGGCGTCGGCCAGCTTCGATTTCAAGAGCCAGCACAAGGGCATGAGAGTCCTCCGTGAGTTGCCACATGAGGATACGATACGTCCGCTGCTCATGAGCCGCGCCCCCCTCGGCGGCGCCGGGGGGCCGCAGTTGGCCAGGGTGCGGGGTTCGGCGGGGGCGTGGGTGCGCAAAGGGGACGACGGCAGTGACCACGACGACCACGACGACGACGACCACGACGACCTTGAGTAACACGACGGCCAGGACGACCACGACGACGACCACGACCATCGTCCCCTTCGCTGTGGCCGGGGCGGCCTCTTCGGCAGGCCACAGCGCCTACTACCGGCGGTGAGCGGGAGCGCCCGCTCGGGCGCGCAGCCCGCGCATGCGCTCGCGCGCGGCGGCCCGGCGGCCCGGCGGCCCGGCGGCCGGCGGCGAGGGGCGGCAGCGCCCAGAAGGCGCTCTGTTGTGGAGTCGGGCAAGCTCGCTTGCACGGCATTCCCCCCCCTCCCCTCCTCGGAGGCCCGGAGGATGCCACCAGCAGCACGCTTCACGTCGCAGCGCGGCAGAGGCAATCCGCTTGCGCGGTCTAGTGGGTCGGACGGCACGAACTGTCCAGCTGGGGAAGGGGGGTGGGCGGCGGCGGAGGGCGGGAAGGAGAGGAGGACGTATCACGGCGCGAACAACAAGCTCAGATCGGCGGCGAGCGAAAGGGGGGGAAGTGAGAAGGAGAAGGCATTCTGAGAAGGCGGCGGGGTTTCTCAGAAGCCCTCGGGCCCTCGGAGAGGTTTCCTGAGTCTTCGGGGAAGGCTTAGAAGGCTTCTCAGAAGGCCGCGGAATTTCCGAGCCTTTCACTTTCCCTCTGGGCGCGCCGCCGACTAGAGGTTGGACCAACACACCAAGATCGGCGAGGGAAGATGATCCCGATCTCGGTGATGGTGGCAATGTTCGGGCTTCCAAGGTGGTCGAACAATTGAAATATTGCTGCCAGTACCAAAATCTATGATCATTGTCCTCTCGTGGAAAGCCCCCCGTGTTGGTGTTGCTGCCCCTTTCCAAGCCTCCAGCCTCTCCCGCAGCCCCTCGGGCCTGAGGGGAGGAAAGATACCGCAAGCCCGCTGCTCGTCCTCGTGAATCCTCGTCGCCACGGCTGGGTTTTCCCCGAAGTGCTGGTCGGAACCCTCCCCTTTCCCCCTCCCTCCGCCGCCTTGTCAGGCTGTCAACCCGAAAGCGCGTTTCGTGGAATGGGAGGGTCATGAAACAGGGTGGTGAAGAAGGGCGCACCTTTCGTGGTGAGACGGGGCGGGCCTCCTCAAAGGCCTCGGAAGGCCTCGGGCGCCTCCGAGAAGTTTTCTGAGACTCCCCCGAAGACACCACAACTTCTCAGAAGGCTGGAGGTGTCATGAGAAGTCCCGCTTCCTTTGAGAAAGTCTGCGCCTTCTCTGAGAAGAAGGAGCGACATAAACATACAACTTTGTTTTGGATTTCCGCGCGGATTCCTTGGATCTCATTTGGAACCCTCCATTGCGCGCGCGCCAGGGGCGGCGCCGGAGGCGCCGCCAGAGGGCCCAGCGCCGATCCAAGAAATCCGCGTAGAGCTCCGGCCAGTCGGCGGCGAGCTTGGGGGGAAGTCAGAAGGGGCGGGCCTTATCAGAATGCTCGGAAGTCCTCGGTCCTTTCGAGGAGTTGCTCCTAAGCTTCACCCGGAGACACCAAGTCCCTCCGCCTTCTGAGAAGGCCCTCCCTGTCTCTGGGCCTCCCAAATGAGAACCGAGCAGATGGGGTCGGACGATCTCGCCGCATCGCCGATGCATCCGCGATGCGGCTCGATGCGGAGGCCGATGTTCTTCGCGCCGACGTCAGCGATGCATCGCCGTCCCCGCTGCATCGTCGATGTATCGGCGCTGGATCGCCCATGCAGAGCGATCCTCCGATCTCATCTACTCGGACCTCATTTGGGAGGCCTCGACCTTCTCACTTCCCTCCTGGGCTCGCCGCCTAGTTTGGGCTCGCGGGGGGTGGGGAGCCGCCGCTCGGCAGAGGGCCCTCTGCGGCGTGCGGCGGCCTCGTTTGCCGTTCCGTCTCGGGCGCGGCGGCGGCGGCAGCCTGAGCAGATATTACGCACGGCGCCTCCTCCAAAATCTCGTGTTCCCTGCAGTCTTCCCTCCTTCACCTTGGGACGTTTTTTGTTTTTCGTCCCTCTCTCTCTCGCTTCTCGGCGAGGATCATCGAGGAGCATCCTGGATCATCTGGCAAAAAGAAAGCTCTCACGAAGCCGAAGCATGCACGGGGAATGGACGTCCGAGCGATGGCACGTCACCCGAAGAAGACGAAGAAGCAAACACGCGAACAAAGAGTTGGCCTGCGGCCCATCCCGCCACCGTGCCTGGGTCGTGGGCGCAATACCCTTCAGCGCTTTCCTTGCGCTAGAGGGGGCCTCCCGGGGGGCGTCGTGGGGTCCGTGCGGGTGTTTTTGGGGGGCGTAAGACACGCATTTCTGACATCCCCATAGGGGCTTTGTGGTTTCCTCCTGCTGTGAAGAGGCTCCGCCATCGTCCTCAGTATGCCACGAACTGGCACGCCTGGCCCATGAAGCCCATCGTTGCCGCGTGGTCGTTGGACGTCGCGAGTGGGGGATCGTTGAGTCGTGCACGCGTGCCCGAGTTCTCGCGTGAAGTCACGCTCAGGAGACGCAGCCCTTTGCGTAGCTGCTGTACGTTCGCGCAGCCCATGGGGATCAAGAGGGCCTGAGAGAGCGCGCCCAATTGCCGCACGCCCACGTCACTGTATATGGGGACCACGAGAATGCTCTAGCGTTTCTTTTCGGTCGGTCGCCGCCGAGTCCGCTCAAGCTTCAGCGCACTGAGGCCCCACGGCACCTGCATGGTGGCGGGGCTCTGCGCGGCCCTGGCGTCGGCGGGCCCTGGCGTGCTGCGCGAACTGGCGCGCGGGGCTTTGGCAGTGGCGGCGCGGGTGGCGTTCTCGGGGCCCGCTCCCTGCCCGCCTTGCCCGGGCTGTCCGCCCCCGCCGCCCTGCCCCGCGTGGGAGCTCCTGGCGGCAGGTCCACCCTGGGCCTGGGCGGCGAGCCGAGAGGAGGCCGCAGGCGCGGACGGGCTTCCCTGGCTCCGGATCCTGGCGGTGGTGCTGGCCTTCGGCGCTGGCCGCTGGAGCGCAGCCGGCGAGCCGCCCCCGGCGCAGCGTGCGTCTCGAGAGCATGTCGACCTACAAGGAGAGGCGACCAGGGGCGCGGTTGCTGGTGCGGTTCGCAAGCGATGAGTGGACGCACGAGCGGATCTTCTTCTGGCCAGTGCACCGCGACCGCCGGCATGGGTGCTGGGTTGCTGGGTGATCGAGACGCCCGACGGCGACCGCTACGTCGAGCGGAAGGCGGATTGGCGATGGTACGTGTCGCTGCTGCACGGCTGGCCCGAGGGCTTCACGGGCAGCGCGGCGCGCTTCCAGGCCGAGGTGGGTCGCGAGGCCCTGCGACCGATGGTGCTGGAGGGCCGCGATTTGGCGCGCGAGGTGCGCCGTCGCCGCCGCCTCCCTCGAGCTGGGCGCACATCTCGGCGAGGATCCGGCGACGATGGTGGACTGGCACGGTGACGAGTCGGTGACGAGCGCGGCCTGGGTACAGGAATGCTGGAGGCGGCCCGCCGACGGCTGCGAGGGAAGCGCCCTCTGAGGGGCGGCGCCCACGTACCGGAGGCGCCAGGCGACGAGGGGTCGACCCGCCCCGTCCTGGTCCACGGCCCGTTCGGGGGCGCCGAGAACGTGCTGCTGGTGGCGGAGCTCCACGCTGGTGGAGGTCTGGGCCTGGGCGACGCGCTGTCCCCGAGCGAGACCGACGTCGCAGTGGGCCCGAAGGTGATCGGCCGCCGTGCCGGCGGTCACCCAGTGCTGTGCGAGGGGGCGGCGATCTCCGACGTCGAGTCGTGGCGGGCTCAGGCGTTCGAGAACGCTCCAAGCGTGGCCGCGTCTGCGCTGGGGCTGGCAGAGCCTCCGCCCGCGGCCGACGACCGCCCCGTCGACCTCCGCGACACCTTGCGGGCCCCCCCTGGCGAGGCTGGAGGCGCCAGCGCGCCGCGCGAGGGGCGGCAGGTCGAGCAGCAGGCGGAGGGCGTCAGGACCCTGGCTGTGGAGTGGAACGAGCAAGGCGTCCGCTTCAAGGAGTGGCGTCGAGCAGTTGGCGAGGGCAGTGAGGAGGCTTTGGGCGGTTGCGAGCTGCGCGGGGCCGGGGCGGCCCTGCATCTGTGGATGTCGAACTTCTGCCGCGAATGCGGCATCTATGCAGCATCGGCCAGCGAGGTCGCACCTGGCTTGAGTTGAGCTGCCTGATCGCCATCTTCTGGCAGGCGGCCACCTTCGACGCGCTGGGCCTCGGCTGCCTGGCCTGCCGGGAGGTGGCGGCGCGGCGGGTCGCCCGGATCACCGAGGCCCACCGCGTCTCCCCTGGGCAGCCCGCGGCTCGGGGGGCAGGGCGCGTCCTGACGGGCGCCAGCCACCATTTCCACGCGGTGTCGCCCGAGCTGCGGAACTTCGCTATCCCCGCTGCTCCGTGTGAGGCCGATCGTGTGGCGGCGCTTGGCAGTGGCTGGGCGCTGGCGGCCAGCGGCCGCTGCGCTGGTGGCAGCGACGACGCGGCAGGCGCGGTGGGTGCGGGGGGCCCCCCCGCGCTGGCGCTGAGGATGGCGGAGGCAGAAGCGGCGGTGGCGGCCGCGGTGGCGGGCGGATGATCAGGCCCGGCGACGCGGCGACGGGCGCGGGGCCAGGTGGCCCCCCCCCCCCCCCCCCCCCGGCGTGGAAGCAGAGGCCGCGCGCGGCGGGCAGATCTTCCCTCTGCCGCCCCTGCGCGAGCTGGGCGCCGACGTCGCCGACGTGCTTGGACGCCGAGGTCGGGCGCGCGTGCGGCGGATGGCCAATGGGGGTCTGGCTGCGCTGCGTTAGTTGCGCGGTGCTGAGAGAGAGCGCGGCCGGGCGCGCCGCCCAGCCGGGCTACGCGCTGCCGCGTGGCGGAGTTGCAGCGCGAGACGCAGCGGCAAGCGCAGGTTCTGACAGCAAGCTGGGGCGCGCCCGCCTGCGTGGAGGACTCGCAGCAACGTCTGGCGCGATTTCTGCTGGGCCGAGGCGGATGCGACCAGCTGGCCCGCGCGACGCTGACCCCCTAGTCCCGTGCCCAGCTGTCGGTCCCGGAGGGCCCGGCGGGTTCGCCGCGCGTCGCGGACCTGCTGCTGGGGGCAGAACGGATTCAGTTGAAGGGTTATGAGAGCCACGCGATGCGGGAGATGCGTCCGCCACAGGAGGTGGGCGGAATCAACGCGCGATGAGGGCCGGCTCAACCTTGCATGGGCCCTGCGTTGAGCCGCGAGCGCTCCGCCGACGTCGGCCTGGTCAAGAGGTTGTTGAAGATGGGCTTGGTGCGCTTGTCGACCGCTTGCCGCTGCCGGGTGGGGGTCTTCTCCGTCAAGAAGAAAGGCTGCCGCCCGGCGCTGATCCTGGACAGCCGGCCGGCGAATCGCCTGCCCGCCCGGGGTCGACCTCGTCGGCGGCGACGGTCTGAGCCGCGTCGAGACGTTGGCGAGGATCGGCCCCGATCGAGGCGAGGAGCTGGACGATGTCTTGGGCGGCCCGGGCGCCTTGGTCGGCGTGAGCGATCGACGCGAAGGGCTGCTTCCACTGGCTTCTCCTGGATGACGGGCCAGGACTCCAGGAGTTCTTCGGCTACCCGCAACTGTGCGCCGCCGAGCTGGGCCTCTCCCAGCTGGGCGGGGTGGCGCTGGATCGGGGTGCGACGGTCTACCCGCTGGCCCGCGCGCTGCCGATGTGGGCTGGGCCTGGTCGCTGCACTTCGCCCGGTCGGCCAACGCGCATCGCGTGGCGCTGCTGCGCGAGCTGGAGGGCACCCTGCCCATGGCGGACCGCGGGCCGCCGCTGATGCTGGACCACCCGCGGGCTCTTGGCCACTGCGCCAAAGTGGACAACGTCGGGGTGCTGGGTGGCTCGGAGCACCGGGCGAGGACAGCGCTCGAGGCGGCCGCCGAGTCTTTCGGGAAGGTGGGGCTGGAGGTGCACGAGACCTCGCTGGTGAACGACGGCGGGGTGGCCCTGGGGGTGCAGCTGAACGGCCGTGGCGGCTGTGCGCGCCCCGCGCCCTCCAGGTTCTGGCGAGTGCGAGGCGCGGTGCAGGCGCTGTTGCGGCGCCGCAAGGTGAGCGGCGTGGAGCTGGAGATTGCGGCGGGCCATCTCACGATCTTAGGCCTGGTGCGTCGCGAGAGCCTGAGCTACTTTCGCCGCGTCCACCGCTTCATCCAGCGCCGTTGCATTGAGAAGGTCGCGCTGTGGCAGAGCGTGGCTGAGGAGCTGCAGGCTCTCAGGGGCCTGCTGATATTCCTCCATGCCGACTGGGGCGCCAGGTGGCTCCCTGGCGCGTCCCTCGACGGCTTCGGCTTGGCTTGCTCGCTGTGGGGCCGTCGCGACATCGGCCGTGCGGGCCGCGCGTGCGAGCGGTCCCGCAACCGGCTGGGGGCAGGATCAGCGCGGCGGCGCGCTGTGGGGGCCGCGGGCCAGGAGTTGCACGCGGACGGCGGCGTCGCGGCGCCGGAGGCTCACGCCCGCGGTGTCCCCGTGGAGGAGGTGGCGCGGTGGGGCCGAGGTCCCGCTTTCGAGGAGGTCGGCGGAGCGGCCGCGCGCTGGCCGTTGGCGGGCGGTCTTGGCCGATCAGTGGGCTTTCGGGGATGGGGTCCTCCACCTCGAGGGCCGCGCGCTGATCGAGCGCGCGGCCAGCTCGCGCGCTGGCCACGGCGGTCGAGCCCTGCTGCTGGGGAATGGCATGGCAGTGATCCTCGCCTTCTCACGCTCGCGGGCCCGAGACTTCATGCTGCCGACGATGATTCGGCGGGCGGCGGATTGCACGTCAGGCCGAGGGCTCAGGTTCAGTCATGGGTGGGCCCCCATCGGAGTTCAATAGCACCGACTAGGGGGACGTATTGTTTGCGAAGGAGTACGAGACGGATCAATGCGTCGCCCACCTGCTGCCGCAGGGTGGGTTGAAGAGCGACGGATCGGAGACGGCCCCGGATGGCCTTGGAGTCGGCGGCCCGTCTGCGACCGCAGCGGTCTGCCCTCCGGAGCCGTCTCGGCTCGAGGAGGGAGGCTGCAGCTCAGAGACCGGGGCCGCGTGCCGGGCTGCTGGGGAGACGCCTGCTGGGCGCCATGCCCCCGCGGGGCCAGGCGAGCCGGGCGCGGGTGCTGACCCGGCCGCTGGCGGCGCCGAAGTCCGCGGCCAGCTCGGCCCGGCCCCCGCCTGCGAGCCAGAGCCCACGGCGGGCGCGGGCGCTCGGCAGGGCGGCCTGCAGCGGGCCGGCCGAGCGGGCGAGCGCGGGTGCCGGGCCGGCGCCGACGGGCCTGGAGCACGCCCCGCAGACGCAGTGGGGCCAGGCCGCGGCAAGGCCCCCGGGCAGGGCCAAGGCCCCGGGCGCGACCGCCGTTGCCGCCGAGGACGCCAGCGGGACCAGCTGCGAGGAGGAGCTGCCAGGGCGGGCCTCGGCCCGCGCCGGCGCCCGCCGGGCCGCTGCGCGTGTGCGGCGGATGGCCAGGCAGGACCTGCCGCCAGGCCAGACGTTCCTGGAGGCGCACAGCGTCGAGATGCACGCGGACGAGCTGATTATGTTCGCAGGCCAGCACAAGGTGCCGCTCGTAGAGGATGCCGAGGTAGACGACTGCATCGCGAAGTGAACGAACGCAGAGTTCAGCGCGGGCCGCCGCGCGTTGCGCGGGGAGAGCATGCTGGCCGCGGTGATGTTCACCATCCCTGGCTTCAGCCGCAACGGCAGTCGGAGGCCCCCCCGAGCTTTCCGATGCCTCCGCGGCTGGCCGCCGCTGAGCCCGCCGATGAGCCGCGCGCCCTTGCCCTGGCCAGTGTGGGCGGCGGTGGCGCTGCGGCTGGTGCGGCCCGGCCATGGGTTGGCGGCGATCGCGGTGCTCGTGATGGTGGAGGCGTACCTTCGGCCCTTGCAGCTGCCGTCGCTGAGACGCCGCTCGCTGCTGCCGCCCGCCCGAGGCGGCCCAGGCAAGCGGGGCCTGCTGCTGTTCCCGAGTGCCGCGGGGGTCGCTCGCAGCAGGGCGGGCGAGGCGGGCGACGCCGTGGTGATGGGCTCCGCGCGCGTGCCTTGGCTCAGCTATCTGCTCAGTCGTCTCAGTGTCGGGCCAGAGGACGAGCGGATCTTCCCTTGGGGGCGCAGTCAATACTATCAGATGTTTGCGCAGGCCGCAGCGGCCCTCGGCTTCAAGATGGCGCCGTGTCAGGGTCGGCGCGGCGGGATATCCATCGATTGGGCTCATCGGGGGTGGGAGCTTGGACGAGTGCATGAAGAGGGGCCGATGGAAGGCCACCAGGAGTGTCGCCAGGTGCGAGAAAGCCGGCCGCCTGAACGACGCCTGGTGTGAGTTGGCGGCCGGCCAGCAGGAGTGCGCCCTCGACTGTCAGCGCCAGCTCGAGGAGCGCCTCGTGCGTGGGCGCTGGCTGCCGGCCCCCCCGCTGCGCCCATGACCGCGTTCCTGGCCGAGCTGTTCAGTGGAACAGGCCGGGTAGCGGCGGCGGCGCGGAGAGCGGGCAACGCCTCGCGCGAGTGGGATGTGAAGGCGGGGCCTGCTGGCGACCTCCGTCGGAGATGCGTGGATGCACATTTGCGCAGTGCCATGCGACGTGGCCGATTGTTAGGAATCATGATTACTCCGCCGTGCACATCCTATCCCTCCCAGTTGTTCAGAATGTGAACGTACCTTTGAGGGGCATCCAGTTCCCGAGAAATCTTCGGGGGCTCTCAGGAATCCAGTGTGTTTGGCATGAACCCACCCTGGCTATTTTACTTCAGCATCCAATGTGTACAGCGGTGGTTGTGAACCACTGTGCTTTCGGGGCGCCCCATCGGAAGGCGACTCGACGAATTAGTGTTTGGAGGCTCCGAGCTCGACCTTGGGTTTCTATGGCGTCCCGGGTCCGTTCGGTGTACAGGGCGGCGCGGATGCTGTTCTTTCTCAGGGAAGAAACATATAATTCTGGAGGGAAGGAGCGCGCGCGAGGCCGCAGCCTACGATCCTAAGCTGGCCAGCGCTTTAGTTCGGGCATCGTTGTCACCTGTCTGGAGCGAACGTCATTCGATCTGACGCCCTCGCCTTTTCATTTCCGTGCCTGTCGGCACTCCGCCCCCCGTGGCTGTGAACTACGGCTTGGGGCCTCAAGGTTTGGGATCTTTGTGGGGCAGACTCTTCGTTCGAACGTGTGCTTCGCTCGGCCTCACTTCAGGCCGCCTTGATCCTATCAGTGGCCAGTTTCCGGGCCTCGCTTGCAACAGAGTTTAGTCGCCGCCGAGAAAACGACAAACAGCATGTATGTGGGGGCCACGAGAATGTTCTGGCGTTCTCTTCGGTTTGTCGCCGCCAAATCCGTTCAAGCTCCCACCCGCGCCTCCTATTTTTTAACGAACGATCTGTGTTGAGCAGACTCTGCATTCGAATGTGTGTTTCGCTCGGCCGCACTGCAGGCCCTCTTTAATTCTCTTGCACA